AGAACAAAAGAAAGTAAAAGAAATTAATGAAAACAAGTCACTGAAAATTGATCACCAATTCTCAAAACAATTCATTTTTTTTAAAGATGAGAAGCCACACACTATTACAAAAACAAACAAGCACATTCAAAATACAGATACGTTCAACTTATAAGATGATAGCACATAATTCTATGAACAGAGAAGATTAAAAATCTACATCCAATAAACACTCGAGGGCTATCTGCCAAAACTGACAAAAAGCCTGAAGCAGATGATGTTCTGACAGATGAAGCCCACAGAGAGGTCCAGGGGCTGAGGGAACACTTCCTGCCTGGACACAGCACCCTGGGCTGTTTTTACAGAGCTTTCACCAACTTCACAGAAGAGATGATGCAAGCACTAAGCCATTCCAGAGCACAGGAAAGGGAGGAGGGATGGAAGGGGAAGGGAGAAATAGAAAGAGGAGCTGGGGGAGGGAGAGGAGTAAGGAAAACACTCAAACACAAAACTATAGCTGAATTTCACAGATATTAATAAAACAGTATTTATTTTATTTACAAGAAAACCCCCACAATCCATCACAATCAAACAGCACTTTCTCAGAAATATGAGTGGTTCAGTATTCACATATTTGGAAGATGGTTAATAGAACTAAAGATATTAAGAGAACTAAAGAGAAAAATATGTCCATCACCACCAATTTCAGCAGTGGAAAAAACTTTGTATTTTCTAAAATTAAAAAAGGTAATACCTCTTAATAAAAATATCTGTTAAATGAAGTGAAAATGGGGAGCTAGGTCAATTGATAAAGTGCAGGCCTTGCAGGCATCAGGACCTGAATTTGATCCCCTAAAACTCACCTTTAGAAGGAACTGGGCATAGTGGCACACACTTAAGACCACAGCACTGTCGAGGAAAAGACAGGCAAATCCCTGGACCTTACTGGCCAGCCAGTCCAGGATAACTGGCAGGCCAGTGGGAGGCCTTACCTGGAAAAGGAAAAAATAATAACTAAACAAGCAAAAAGCCCCAATGGACAGCATGGTGCGTGGTTTCCGAGGAATGACATCCAAGGATGACCTCTGCTTCTTCATACATGTGCAAGCAAGTATATCTGCATACATAAACATGCAAACACAAAGACACAGACACAAACACACACACACAAACATGCACATGTTTTTCAGGAGCTGGTCCATGAGGGAAAAACTTAGAGAGACCATGGACTCTTTCAAGGTCTGTACATTTTCATGTGAGCACCAAGACATTCGATACTATTTTCTCTTTGATGGTCAAACTCTTGTTGCAAAAGCTGTAGAAGGCAAAACAGCTGATGTCTTAGCATGTACTCATGGGGTCTGGCCATTTTTACTTAAAAACATCCTTGATGAAGTTTTGTTTTGTTTTTGTTTTTTTTTTTTTAAATTATGAAGTCCTGAGCTGTACCCCTGGCCCCACCTTTATTAAAAGTCTAGATGGCATGCCTTGAATACTCTGGGCGCTGGGTCAAGGGCTCAGGTCCATAGCTGACACGGCAAGCCCTCATTCCCAGAGCACCGCCTCAGCGCCAAGTTATGCATTTTCACAGATCAGGTGAATCCTATCTCCTCAAACTTGAATGCTTGGCAGACATTTCCTCTAAAGTAAGCCGTCATTTTAAAGAAGTGTCAGCATTTGTTGCCATGATAACAGACTGAGCATTCAAGTGAAAATGGCGAGTTTTAGAAAACTAATGTCTGCCATCCACAAGCAAGCACTGCTTAGATTTTTCTGACGAGATCAGTGGTGGCTGTTTGAAAATGAAATTTTTTTGACAGTGTAAAATTAAATATGTCAACGGTTGCAAGCTCCGCATCACTCCGTAAACTAGTATTTTCAAAATGACAAATTCAATGTTTAAAAATGCAGTCACACATGGGTAAAATGATCCATCCAAAGTGTGAGATAGACAAATAGATTTCAGAGCAGCAGAATGAAAAACATCCCTTAATGACCAAAGATTGATTTCAACAAATACTCAAGCTGCCATCTGTCAAGTTTTGCTGTAGCGAAGACTATCCATAATGACCTTAAAAAGTTATTCGAATTACACTTCATCTCCCAACCTGGTCTGCTAGGACAAGCCTGGAGTCCTAGGTGCTCAGGTGGCTGAGGGAGGAAGACAGAAGTGTGAGTGGGGAGCTCACACGGCAGGTACAAGGTCCTAGGTTCCACCCTAAGCAAACAACAAAAAGTATCCCTCACTCTCCAGCTATTCATACTGTGCAGAAGCATCCTAACTTCTGTGTATGGATGTTTTGTCTGTTTATGTGTGTGCACCGTATGCGTGCCTAGTGCCCACGTAGGTCAGAAGAGGTCGTCAGCTCTCTTGCATCTGCAGTTACTGACTGCTGAGCTGCCAGTGGATGCTGAGAACTGAACCTGGGTCTTCTGCAAGAGCAGCACACCCTCTTAGCCACTGAGCCATCTCTCCAGGCCCTGTGAGTAAATGTGTCTGTGTGTGCATGCGTGCATGTATCTATGTATGTATGTACATATGTGTTTATGCGTGTATCTTCCTTCTTCCCCAGTGCTGGGATTACAAGCACTCTGGGACAGGCATTTTAAGTGAGTTCTGAAGATCAAATTGAAGTGATACCATGTGAGCCATTTCCTCATCCCCAAGGTATTTCAACCAAAACCATATATTGCAACAAATGCAATGTGATGTCAGATGGAAGTCTAGCTCTCTCCTATCCCAACTGAAAGAACCGGCCAAGTTAACACTACTATCTTTGTATTTTATTTTGAAAGTAGAGAAGCCCTTTGCTTACACCTCCAAACCCAAACTGGACCATCTGGCCATCAAAAATGTGTAGGGGCTGGTGAGGCAGCTGAGCAGTTAGAGCACCTGCTACCCTTGCAGAGGACCTGGGTTCAGTTCCCAGCACCCCACATAGAGGCTCACAACCATCCCTACCTCCAGTTCTGGGAGATTTGACACCTTCCTCTGGCATCTGAGGGCATCAGGCATGCACACGGTGCTCTATGAGTGCAGATAAACACTCATAGACATAGAGTAAAAACAAATAAATTACTTTGAAAAGTAATAGTGCAATTGATTTAAAATAAACTGCTTAAGCATCGAGAGTAACAGCAGTAATTGACTAAAATATAACCTATATAATTGTCCATAAGTCCCTAGATTAAAAAAAAAAAAACCCACAACCACAATGACAATAAACTGTTTTCCTGAAATCACAGGAATTTTAAGGCATAAACTGAAAATATTGCTATAATATTGAATGTTAAATAATATTAAATGTCCACCAACAGAGTTGCAGTTGACATAAATGAATTGTGTATTACACATCATTCATCTTTTAATAGTCCCCAGGAAAAGACAATGATCAAGACCCTGAGAAAATTACAGGAACATTCTGGGTGCAGTCCACGTGAACACAATCTGTAGGTGAACAGCAGCGGATGGACTTTAACATCTGCAGCTGAGACAGTGAAACGTTTACCAGCTTGTCTCCGCACACAGCTTGCGGAATTTCTCAATCCGCTCCTGATAAAGAACACCGGTGCAGCCTATGGTCACGCCTCTAGATTATGGCAATATAATTTTCACTTTCTATGTTGGCTCGGAATAAAATAAATGTTAAAGAGATTTAATAACGAGGATAGAAAACACACATTGGAAGTTCAAAATGCAAAGTAATTCATTTCACGTTACTGAATGATGTCTTAAAAACAGAACTATTAAACACATAACGTGATTTATCTATAGGTAGTATCAGGCTTTTAAACATTAAAAAATATGTATTTACTATCCCAATAGGATTTTCTTTTCAATTTGGAATGACTTTGAAATATTTTTGGTTTGCTTTATTAAGATATGTCTTTCACTGCAGCCAAGGCTGTCTTCAAACTTGTGATAGTGCTTTGCCTCTGCCTCCCAAGTACTTGGATTACAGGCACATGGCACCATACTTTATCTCAGTACTGAAACTTGCTTGTAATTATTTCTACTGTTATGGTCAGTTAAAAGAATCAGGCAAGGCAAACCTACTATCAAATTATTGAGTCTTTAAGATGACTATATAGGAAAAAATATGAATTTCTTCAAACAACAGTGTGTGCACACACTAGTGCTTATGCAGGCCAGGCAATTCCAATGGTCATTTCTCAGGAGCTGTCCACCTTATCCTTTTTGAGACAGGGCTTCTCTCTGGCCTGGGAGCTCACCCAATAGGCCGAGCTGACTGGTCAGCAGGCCCCAGCAATCCACCGGCCTCTACCTCCCCAGTGCTAGGATTACAAGCACATGCCACACACCCACCTGTCAGTATGGATTCTGGGAATCAAACCGGGTCTTGTTGGCAAAGCAAGAACTTCACCAACAGTGCTATCTCCTCTCTTTCTCTCCCACCAAAACCCCTGTTGGAGCCTCAAGCTGAGAGCTCATGTCTATGGCAAGCAGGAAGAAGAGAACCAATTGGGAATGGCAGTTTCTGAAACCTGAAAGCCCACCCCGTGACAACCTTTCTCTGGCAAGGTTGTCTTGCCTCATCTCCTAGACCTCCCCAAACAGCACACTACGTGGGAATCAAGTGCTCAATGCCAGAGCCTATGGGAGACATTCTCCTTCACACCCCGAACACATGCTAAAAATTATATAGACTATCTGAATATGTTCAAGTGTTCTATATTAGAGTGCCATGAACCACAGCACTCTGATCAAGTCACTAGTAGGAAATGAGGGTCCTTCAGAAAGAATCAACCTCAGACTTTCACTGCCAGGCCATGCTCCTCTACCTCAGCCCCTAAAGTGTACCAATTCTCTCCGGAAGATTTCCCATAAATAAAATGTTGAGGAATAAATTTTCATGAATGCAAATGAAAAGAAATGAAACATTACCATCCCAGTTAAAAGTTTCCAAGTTATATTTTAACTTCCCTTATGATTATCTTTTAATGAAATGAACACAAAATACACCAGTTTAAGAATTTATTTGTGAATTATAATAGAACTCAAAAATAGCAAAGAGCATGAAAAATTCGTTTATTAACCAAATACATGACAGTATACTTCTACTTTTTTAAGTAACAAAAAAAATACCTAAAACTTCATTTGAGATGTAATTATCTACCTCATAAAACTTGAAAGTAATGAAGAATTAACAAGTTGCCAGAAAAATTCACTATATTATTAAATATATATTGCTCAAAGAAGTCAAAATGTACTTAATAAATGTACTTAATAAAATAACTTCTTTATGGATAATCTTAGTAAAGTGCTATTTCATACTAAAAAATCAGTAAAGATTAAAACTTTTTTGTTTGCCATCATTCTGAAAGTGTCACATTTTCCTTCGAAAGTCCTATTATCATCACACTCCTATGTATCCCACAAGAGGCTCTTCATGAAGCCTTAAAACCCAACCATCTTTCCACTCATTGTTTCCTGGACATTAAAAACGCCAACATTGCTGGGGGAAGCTTTTCGAGATACAGAAGTACTAGACACGATTTTTCAGTGTACAAAAATGATTTTTGGCTTTCGCTTAAAGCTGTCCTTTCTTATTTGTTGGGTAGTTACGGCTAGTAAAACAGTTACTCAAGGAAATCCGTATTTCACGTCAAAAGAAGATCGAGGCACTGATCTAAAGGCAATGAATGGCACATCCCAAGAAGCTGGTATAAAGATCCCTGAGATCCATGAGGGGTCAAGTGCACCCAAGCGGAGAGTGATGCCAAGGAGCGACTCCCCTCCTTTCATGAGTAACTCCTAATAATCACTAACAGCATTAGCCAAGGAGAGGAGTCCACAGGGGGAGGGGTCTGATCGAAGGCACACAGTGCAAATCTTCAGCAGACAAGACCAACTCAACTGCTCATGTAAACACGTGTGCAGTCACCCCGAGGACATAGAGAAGTCACAGACTAGAGGCAGAGTGCCATCCGTGCTGTTCCTTCAATAAGAACTCTGTGCCTGAGTCACAGAGCCTTCAGATCAGAAAAGGCTACGACCATCCATAATTAATGTCCTTTAATACAAAAACTGGCATTTGTCCAAAATGAAAAGTATTAAATAAACAGAGGAGGGGGGGTGCAAAATGAAATCAGAAACTCTAAGTCACAAAACTAATCTCATGGATGCCATGTTCAAGTTTATAACTCAAGGCTGCTGATGACTTTGTCTCTCTCTCCTTGAATAATCAAATGCAAATGCCTTTTTGCAATGGCAGCGTTCAAATCCCACAAAAAATCAAGCAATGTCCGCTGGAGGAGCACCTCCATTGGCACAAACTGCAAAACCTGCTGCGGTGCGTTAGAGTGGAGCAAAGTGCTCAACAGCTCCTTAACATTCCGCAGATACTCGAAAACTGGCTCTGGAAGGTCCTGATAACCAATGCATAGCAGCACAGCACAGGTCCTGAGGAGCTCAGAGGACGTAGGACAAGAAAATGTGACAAATCTGAAACAGCTGTGGAGGACAAAGATCAAGCCGGCCATGAATCTTGTTAAGCACGAAAGTACAGGCAAAACCATCACATCCCCTGTGTGAAGCTGCTTCAGTGAGTGTAGCAGGCAATCCAGAAACAAATGTTGGTACGTCGGGTCGCCGTCATGAAGCAATGAGCAACTGAAGGTTAGGAGTTCGGTGGATTCCAGAAGCTGGACCTCCAGGGGCGTGTGCACTTTGAAATCATGGACAGTCGGTGAACCCACGAGCAGGCACTTCATTGGGCTGCCCAGTTCGACAGCCTGCTCATCCTGAAGGCACTGGGTAAGGCCAAACAACTCGGATAGTATCAAGCCTTCTGAAAAAATGTCACAACAGCGGTACTGCTGCTTGGGACTGAACCTGGAATCCATACTCAAAGCCTCTAAGGACTTCTCAATGGCTTCATTAAGAGTCTTTAAAATCTCACCATCACAGAAAGGAGAACACTTCACCTTTGGCAGTTTCTTTCCTTCTAAAATATGCCACAAGTGGCACTCAAGATCAGCAGGAGTCCCTTCTAAGAGGGAACTCTGTCCAGGATGATGGACAGTGTGCTCCTCCACCCAACTATTGAAGTACCCTTTGGCTATCTTATCTTTCCATGAAAGGGTTTCCAGCATCTTCCGTTCATTATAGGTTTTAAAATACTTGTTCCTCTGCCCAAACCATTTCATGTTTGTACTACAACCAATATTGGATTTCTTAACAAGCCAGTGATTTCTAGAAAGAGGCTTCAGTTGGAATTTTTGCATGAAATACTGTACAGCACAATCCCTTAAATTATTCAGTTTCTCTTGCTCCCTCTCTCCCATGCACTCAAAAAGACGAATGTTCTTGGAAATAGTCTCTAGCTGGTGTCTATGGAAGAATGTACAGCACGCTTCATGTTGCTCGAGAAAAGATGTGGGGATCACATGATGGGGAAAGAGTGCTTTCCTGGTCATCTCAGTGCCAAAATTCAGCACCATCCTAGACAACAAAGGATGCACAGTCTCTCTTCCTTTATAGCGGAGACACACCACATAGACTTCTGAATTTCCCGCCTTGCTGGTGGCAGGTTTGAAAACATGGACTTGGTCAAAGGAACAATTCAGCAGGTACATGAGGTTTACAGAACAATGTTCAAACAGCGTAAACATCTTTACAACAAAAGAGCCACCATTTCCAAGAGTGGTCAGAGCAGTGACAACTTCACAGTAATGCAAAGAAGAGACTAAAGCTTCCTGTTCCCCTGGGTTTCCTTGGCAATCAAAGCTCCCGTCAGCAGTGACCAAGTGAATGGTGGACACGCTGCTGAGGAAGTCCTCAAGCCCGCTCAGGTACTTCAGGGTCATGATATCGCCGGTGTTATCCGGGCCGAAGTACCACCAGGGCAAGGTGTTTGCAATCAGCCGGTCGTCCGCAATCATCATGAGGGTGTCGTTGGCTTCATGGTACGGGTTCAGGGTGTTGGCCACCCACCTCCACTCGCAGGGGAACCGGTGGGACTTTAAGTAGTGGTTGAGACTAGCTATGAAGGCTCCTGGGGCTTCGCACAGGTGCAGGGAATTCAGCCTTCCCTCCTGAAAAGCCTCCTGTGGGATAAGCGGGAAACTGCACAGAATCTCCTGGAATTTGCACCAGGCTTGCGTGCAGAGTTCTGCGTTCACCGCCCTCTTCACGTGGGAAATGATCTTCCCTGCCTTGTTGGTGAAGGCAGTGTGCTTGTGCCACTCGCCTAGTTTCTTGTCACTCAGGAGGTTTTTCACCTCGTTTAGGGAGTTCTTCAGGTCAAGAAGAGCACTGAACTCTGTGTGGTCACAGGTGAAGAGCTCACTGGGAGCTGGTGGCCGCCACTCACCGTCAAGTGGCGGACAGTAGGTAAAGTTCTTGGCGAAGAGTTCAGAAACGTCGGCGAGAACGTCTGGGCTGAAGGTCTCGGGACTGGCTGGCTGCTGAACCGGGAGCTTCCTGCGCTTACTCATCTTCAAACCAAGCTAAAATCTGGGAAGAGGAGACAGAAAGTTACGCGAGTCAACTTTAAGATGAGTGAAAGGGCAACTCTGTTACAAAGCCAAGCAACATGAAATAGGAAAAGGCCTAGACTGCGCTCAAATTCCAGCTCTGCTCCTTACAGTTTAATCAGTGTCCTGGAAATTTTACTTTTTATTCTGGGGTTCAATTTTTTTTTCTTATTTTAAGATACTGGCCCTTCCTTCCTTCCTTCTTTCTGTTTTAGAAGATGGCGCATAACAGAGACCAGTTAGCTGGGGGTGGCAGCTCTTGCTGCAGCAACTCACCTGGCTCCTCCCCAAAGCTGTCCTCAGGTTAGACACAACACTCGTGGCTCTAAACATGTACGCCCTTCAGCTTCACCCTTGAACATGACCTCTAACCGGGCCCTAACACAGCAGCCTTGCAGCACTTCTAGCACTGAGATGGTGCCTGCTACACCCGAGCCTGGAACTATAGTCTGGATCTTAAATATTGCCCAAAGACCCTTGTTTGAAAGGTTTGGTTCCCAGTTCCTGTTGCTACTATGAGGTGGAGAAATCTCTAAGAGGCGGAGCCTAATGGAAGGAAGTTAGATTAGTGAGTAGCTATGGGGACCCCTGCCCTTTCCACCCTCTCCTCTTTGCTTCCTGGCTGCCATGGGGTGAACAGGCCTTTTCTTCCAAGCACTCTCCACCATGTCCTGCCTCACCACAGGGCCAAAGGCAATGAGCCAACTGACCACCAACTGGAACTTCTCAAACTGTAAGCCAAAATAAACCTTTCCCTTAGTAAACTGTTTACTGAAGGTGTTTTGTTACAGCAATGTAAAGCTAACCAACACATACGGATTGTAAACTAAATTGCACTTAAGTCATTGGCCTTCTTGGTGATGCTAAAAGTGTCCAATATTTTCCCTGGTATATCTCTCAGATTCCTGCCTCCCATATGCTTTGTTAGACAGTCCCATGCCTCTACTATAAACTTAACAGATGTCAAAAAACAAAATTTTTAACTGAAAAAAAAAAAATCTGTCCTGAATTGAACTGCAGTTACTCACTGGACATTCGAGACTGCAATGCTGCTCAGCAGGTACAGACACTTGCCACCAAGCCTCTGACAATCTGAGTTCAATCCTACAAACCCATGTGGTATGAGGAAACAGGCTCCTGCAAGTATACCCACGCATGTACACACACATAATAAATAAATGTTTGTAGGCACAAGGTTGTTATGTAATTCAAATGTTGATTTCTGAAGACCCCATATGTGGTTGCGATTTTTGTTCTGAGAATTTCCTGTCTCAACGTTGTGTAAACACTGCTCCTCAAATATTCCTTGATATGCTAATAAAGCAGCTTACAGCCAACTGCTGAGCAAGGAAGACTTCCTGCCAGCCAGGGAAGGATGAGTTAGAGGAGGAAGTAGGGGACTGAACCACAGCAGAAATGTCCAGGTGGGACCAAGAGAGAGAGAGCTCAGCAAACAAAGCTATAAAGTGCAAGTATCTCTGGGATGCTTGATGGGAGGAAGCCAAATTAGCTTTGAGGGTTAAGAAGAGATTAATAACTGCTCAGTTCTTGTGCTGTGAAGCTTGTTAAAATAGTCTCAATTATTTGTGTGATAGCTGCATTAAGAGAGAAACTAAGAAACAAACACAGTTTAAGAAAATTAACTGTAACAAATGTTAAAAACAAAAACAAAACATCCTACTGACTAGAAAAGTCTATCTTGTAGAGAGAGAGAAAGGCTAAGAGAGAAAGCCAGCATGCCTTAATGGCATTGTTGGAAAAGCTTTAAGTTCCAGCAAATGGAGCCCTGAGTGTTACATGTCAGTGAACTGAGCAGGTGCTTAAATTTTCAGTTCATGATCTGCACTTATGTCACAGTCAATTCAGACAATAAATTGGTTAGACATAAAAAAACTGACAACAAAATAACCTACAAAAAAAGCAGACATTTCAAAATGAAATGTTGAGTCAGGCTCATTTCTTTGCATGCTGAGCAAAATAAATTTAAAAGAAGTTTAAAATGAGAAATCAAGGTTGGGCATGACCACGCATGTGATTCTATGATATTGGTGTTTCCTTAGTCCTACACTGTTAGCAAACTTTCCCACCCTCTTCATCCTGTATTTTATCCTGTGTTCACCCGGTCTACAAGTCTGTACACTCCTCAAAGCAACAGGTTATCTTAGCACAACTCTAGTTTGCACAACTATTACAAGTCACATGTAAGTAGGGATTTTTTTTTAAGTCACAAACATTCATCAACATCAGTTAACAGTTACTGTATCTAGAAAGCTTCTAAAGGAAGACAAAAATGGGGTATTTCTGCATGCACAAAAATCCTAAATAGGACCAAATAAGTTTACAACAACAAGCTCATCTGTCTTGATTCATGCAGGACTTCCTGGGAACTGCAGCTCCACTTGGACCTCAAATGCATTCTATTTTGGAAAAAGTCTACCTTCAGTCATTAACTTCACATAATAATTAGTGGCTGTGGTTAAGCTGTGAACTCTTACTAAAATTAAGTAGATAATTACCTTCACTTGCAAACAACTAAAGGGATTCAAATACTCCAGTGTTCCCAACTGTACTTGAGCCTATTGTCAGCTCATTCTTTTGTTTTGTTTTTGAGAAAGGGTTTCTCTGTGTAACAGAGCCCTGGCTGTCCTGGACTTGCTTCGTAGACCAAGCTGGCTTCGCTCTTACAGAGATCCACCTGTCTCTGATTCCAAAGTATGGGGATTAAAGGAATTCGTCACCATGCCCAGCTGTCAGCGAATTCCTAAATCTCACCACCCTTCTCCCCCTTACTCCCACTCCAGTCACACAAGCCTTCCCTGATGTTCACTGATGACCCAGGCACATTCCACACTGAAACAATTTTCCCAACACTAAGAGGCATCTTTATCCGGACTGCATTTCCCCGAGTATCTGCACAGTTAATTTCCTCAGCTCCTTCTATTATTTGCTCAAACGAAAATAACTACTGTGTGAAGCCTACCCTACCATACTTATTTTTAAATTGCATCCTGGGCTCCCAACGTCCCTTACCTCACATTCTTCCATGGCATTCTAACTTATCACTTCTTTATTTCACACTTTCTGTTTATGATTTGTCTCCCCCAAACTGGAATGTGAGCTCCACAGGACAGGAATCTTTATTTTGCTCACTTATAGGTCACCCCAAAAGGCTCCAACAGTGGACAGTGAACACACAAGTATTAACTGGATAAATGAACAAACATTACACGTTGCCCAAAAAACACAGCTATGAACAGAATAATGCATTTCAATTTCAGTCCAGCACTTCGGTGCACAACTTTAAAAAAAAAAGTGGGGTTTTTTTTGTTTGTTTGCATTTTTTTTAAATTAAAAGCATGCCATTTCCAAAGTGCATATGTAGATTCCCCAGTTTGTGGACCTCGGTGCCTTTCATGAAGCACTCCTTGAAGAGGCATTCGTGTCATCCTAATTCTGTGGAAATAGATCAATGCCATCTATACGCAGGCAGAAGTCCGAAGGCACACATGAAATGTTTGTAGAAGTCGCTATCCCAACACCAAAGTCGTTGAGTCCTCAACAGCTGTTAGGTCTAACTGAGCCCCAGGAAGTGTCTTCAGTGTTGCCAACTCTTCCTAGGAAGTGAAAACACCAGGGCACGTGCACTCCGGCCCAGGCCAGCCACGACCTCGCCTGCTCTAGGGGAACAGGGGTCCCGAACAGCCCCGCCCCTAGTCCGCAGCGAACCGTGCCGGGACCGTCACTCACCGAGGAGCGGGAGCCGCTTTATTTCCGCACACGCCCACCGGCGCCGCACGGCCTGGAGCGGCGGCACTACTCGCGCGGTCCTCCCTCCGGGGAGCCGTCCTCCACTTCCGGTCCCGGGAACAGCTTCCGGAGGTGGTGCCTGCTCTACGTACCCCGCAGCCCGGGTGGAGGACCGGCGGGCGCCCAGAAGACCGCCCCGACCTGCGCACGCGCAACTGGAGCCAGCTCCTCCTCCAGGCCACGCCCCCCCCGGCTGCGAGACCCTGACGGCCACGCTGCGCAGGCGCGTCCGCGTCGCTCAGGACCGCGAGTCCGAGAACTGAGCTCTGCCGCTGAGAGACGCCTCCTTGTCCGCGGGTCGCCATGGCAACGCAACCGGGCTTTGGAACCCGAAGATTTATCCAGGCTATGGGCGGACGAGTATTCCTAAGAAGACGCTGCATTAAAACTGGAGCTTAAACGATAAGGAAGTTCAAAGCCAAAGTAAAGATAGCATCATCATCACTTAAATAATGTTTTTACATATTAACGAGCCAATTAAAAAAAAAAAAAAAAGAACTATCTGGTGTAGTGGCTTATGCCTTTCGTCCCATAACTAATGAGCCAGGGCTGTCAGTATGTCCATAGGTGTGGGACCACCCACTAGACCATGGGTGTCTTACAAAATGCCACACCCCTGAAAATAAATATGAGCTTAGGATGTCAGTATAGGAATGCTGTTCTTTCGTGGAAACAAATAGAATATGGACGACTTGTGACCTGTTAAATAAAGTTACTGTGTTTATAAATACTGTCAGGGTTACTCCAAACAGCAAAGCCCGGTGAATGGGCCCTGAGAATAATAGTCACAACACTAATGGGGAAGAGAAGATCCGTGCTGAAGACCCGCGCCACTATAAAAACATTTAATTCTCTTAATTACCTGAAAAAAAAATGCATTCGATGTTTCCATGTTATAAACAGAAGTCAGACTGAAGATAATTAGACATTTTGCTGAAGGTTATGTAACCAACAGACAGCAGGGTCGGGGTGTGAGCTCGGGTCCGCCTGAAGCCGAACTACGTCGTTCCTATTGAGAGTCAGAGAGCTGCGCAGTTGGCAATGGCTTTAAAAGACTGTGACCTGCATGCATGTTGTCAGGAAAGGAAGACAGTAGATTCTTGGGAAGATTTTAGAAAAGATGAAGCGATCGGGACGTGCGAAACGGATATTTAACACTTTTTAAAAGAAAAGTAACATTTACGATATTTATGGCAACAAATTCCGGGGTGGGATGGGGTGGGAATGCAGTTAGGTGAGCGCGTTTGATGTGTGTCTAATGCGTTATTGGCTGCAGAGTGAATTCCAGGTCAGTCTAGACTACATGAGACTCTGTCCCCAGAAGCAAAATATCAAAAAAAAAAAAAAAAAGGAAAAAAATTACAGAGCTTTAAGGGATTTAAACCTGAACTAAACCTTACCAGTTTCCCCAAGGGCTTCCCTAGATGTTTAAACAGCATTCGGATCTAAATTCTCCTGCGGCATCTTCTGATACCAAAACACAGTGAGGGTGGCGGGGGGATAGCTCACTCAGCATAGGCCTTACCAAAAAAAGCGTGAGGACCTGGGTTCCACGTCCCCTGTGACCACACCGCCAGGCCTGGGGGCTGCCCTAGTGCCTCCCAGGATCAGGGAGGCAGAAACAGGAGGCTTCCTGGGGCTTGACGGCCAGTCTAGCAGAGTGGCTAAGCTCTAGGCTCAACACCTACAGTGGATAAATGATTGAAAGTCTCTGACATTGATCTCTGGCTTCCGCACATGTAAACATGTACACCTGCCCACATGCATACATACAGAAGTACATATACAGACACACACACAGAGAAGGAGAAGTGGAGTGAAAATAGTAACCAGCTTGGCTCCTATGTTATGTATTAGGAGCAGAATAATTAAATCAATAGACCTGCATTGTAATATTTAGTGCACCTGCAAATAGGATCTTGAAGCTTTTTGCATACTGTTTAGAAATAAATATTACAAAAGTTAAAATTTAAGCATAAATGTAAGAATTCCACACAGAGGGCCATAAAAGCAATTTTTGTCCATTTTGCTGCTATACCACATAGTTAAACTTCACCCTACATTTTAATATATTTTCGGTACTAAAACTCAATATGAACTGTCTTTTTTAAAAAAATGTTTCACAGCAATTCATGCTTTTTCTGACTAAATGGTGTTGAATCAGTTACCAAGTGAGAAAAAGTTGAGCTGTATCTTATAGGTTATGATATCATTAGAATATTTCTAAATTAACCTTAAAGCAAGAGTTTAATGTTGTCATTAATAATGTGCTAACCTTAAATACGGTTTTCACTAAAATAACTTTGGGGTTCACTCCCCAGCACAGCAAAATGGTAAAAATGAAAAATGAAAAACAACAACAACAGAACAATACAATTTCATTGTTACAGACTGGGTTGTGTTCCCGCCCTACAAATTTGTATGTTAGAGCCTTAACTCTTGCTGTGACTTCCTTTGGAAGATGAGTACGTGCGTGTGTGTGTGTGTGTGTGTGTGTGTGTGTGTGTGTGTGTGTGTAAGGTCACCTAGGCCATGCAGAATAGATGGGAGGAATATTAACTTATTGCTCTAGGTCAGTGGTTCTCAACCTTCCTAATGCTGTGAGCCCTTAATTCAGTCCCTCATGTTGTGGTGACCCTGACCATAAAATGATTTTCGTTGCTTTCATAACTGTGATTTTGCGACTGTTGTGAATTGTAATGTAAATATCTGATATGCAGGACATCTGGTGTGTGACCCCCAAAGGGGACACGGACAGGCTGAGAATCTCTGTCCTGATGAGAGGGTGTCCTTCTCCTCCCTGTAACTCTTGCCCTCCATTCAGTTGTTCCCTGAGCTGTAGCATAAGTAGCTTCATTAAGTCTGCCTGATTTTCCGAATTCCTCTAAAGTGTAACTCCCTTCTGCCCTTTGTGCTTTCCTTAACACTTTGAGCTTCGTTCTTTTTCTTTTTCTTTTTTCTTTTTCTTCCAAGACAGGCGTTCTCTGTGTAGCCTTGGCTGCTCTGGAACTTGCTCTGTAGACCAGGCTGGCCTTGAACTCACAGAGATCCACCAGATCCACTCTGCCTCCAGAGTGCTGGGATTAAAGGCGTGTGCCACCACCTTTATTCTTTTTCTGAAGCCCTCCTTCCCTGCCCTGAGTCAGCTTGTTTGCCTGGTGTCTGACGTCCATGCAGGCTGAACTCAGCAGCATCCCTTCCCCTTCCCAGGCAGCTGACGACTTGCAGCTTGCCCACCCTGGAGTTTTTCTTTTAAACTCAAATAAAATTATCCTGGCATTTTATTTTAAGTCCATTCTTAATTCTTTTATGATGAGACTAAAAACCCCAAAGGGACCCCGATTTCCCTCTTAACGAAGAAACAGTGCTAGGAGGCAGCCGGCTACAAGCCAAGAACAAAGACTCCAGCAGAAACCAAGCCAGCCAGTGCCTCGCTCTTGGACATTTTGGCAACCAGAGCTCTGAGAAAATAAAATTCTCTTCTAAGCCACCCAAGCTTAACACTTCATGGCTGCCTGAGCAGACCGATATGCACTTCTTCATCTTCTTTCATGTAGAAAGTACCAACATGACTTTAGAAAAATTGTAAGCACTTAAGAGAGAATTTATATTGCTATGATATGAACCCAGGAGCTTTAAAAAAAAAAAAAAAAAAAAAAAAAAAAAAAAGACCCTTTCCTCCCAATGTTGTTTTTGGTCATGGCATTTATCAGAATTCCAGAAACCAAACTAGAGCCTGCTGCCTCACAATGCTGCCATCATGAGCTCCCCACCGTGGTGGAATGTATCCCTGAAAACTGTGAGCCAAAATAAACCCTTCTTGCCTTGAAGAGTTGTGCTTTTGGGGTATGTTACAATAACGACAAAGCACACAACAAAGCAATACACCTTCCAAAATCTTCAACCTCAAATATCATATGGGAGATTAATCCTTCAGCATATGGATTTGGCAGTAGGAGAAATCCAATCCGGGGGAAAATAATGAGTGAGCCATGATACAGAGGACCATGGAAATTAGATTTCCACACCTGTTCTTTCTCTCAAGAGAGAAAGAAACAACCGTTTTGTTCTTAAAGAATTAGGGCCAATATTGAAACAGTGAAACAAAATTTCCCAGAGGAAGTTGTAAATGAAAGCGTGGTTAAATATCATAGGAGGAAACTGAACTAACTCCCCGCCCTGTGAATTTTCCAGCAACTGCTTCATTACTGTTTATTATTAGGAAGCATCATGACACTTTATTTTTAACTGGAATCAATACCCAACTTGTTAAAGCAGGAGCCCTGGGGAGCTGTAGAGTTAAGAGCTCACTTAACACTGTGTCCCCTTGGGATCAATATGGCTCCTGTTGGCGAGTGGTGAAACACACCAGCCTTTGTAACTGAGTGCCTGGGCTGAACTCTTCACAGCCCAGCTTTGTAACCCTGGGCAAGGAAGACCCACGAGGTGGCATTAAATTACCAAACATAAAGTGCTTACTGGATATGCGCTAGCTATGCCTAGAAAATGCTAATTTGTTGTTTGTTTTTTTTTAAGCTAAAGTGCTAAATTCAGACCTCTGTCTCAGAGTTTTCTCTCTGCTACTTTTTCCTTATATATTCAAGATAATCAGTAGAGGGAGGGAGGGAAGACAGGTGGAGGAGGAGAGACGGAGGAGAAGGAAAAGAGATGGAGAGAAGAGAGAAGATGATTGACGCCAAATGATTCCATATCTGCCACTGAGAATAGGTCTGCTCTATCTGTCTGCTGCCCTCAGCAGTTTGGACTGATTTTGAGAGAAGCTGGAAAGGCTATAGAGCACACATATCACCTTGGATGCATTCACAACCTAAGAGATGATGACAGAGGATCGCAGAACAGTTTAGCTTGGTGTGATGATCATTTATGCAAAGTTTTAAAATACAGAAAGCAATTCTGTTTAGTGTGTTTGGTACAAACAAACAAAAATACTATTATCCAAACATGGGTGAAAAAGATACCTACTGGCCTTGAGCCAAAGTTGAGGCAATCAGGCATAGGAAAGGGGCACAAAGGACATTGGTTAG